ACTGTACTCTTAGCCTATGTGACAGAGTAAGACCCTGTCTCAAGAAACAACAAAAAAATACATGTACCACTCTGGTGCGGGATGTTGATAATGGAACAGGCTATTTTGTACATGTATGGGGGCAGGGAGTATATGAGAAATCACTGTACAATTATCTTTCCTGTGAACCTATAACTGCTCTAAAAAATAAAGTATATTAAGAAAAATTCACAGATGTAAAATCCACAGTGAAAAAAATCCAATATTTGTATGTGTCTATATGCATAAAGAATTGTATGAAAGGATGTGTTACCAAAGCTTGGCACTTGTCCTCAAGGTTGCATCAGAAGAATGAGAAAAAATGGTTTGTGGAGAAGGAAAGAGAAGTTTATTACTTTGCTGGGAAAGGAGGAAAAATGGTAGACCTTCTGGTCTCAAAATCCAAATTTCCTGAACATAAGCAGAAATACAGAGCTTTTGAAGGGAGTGCTCCTCAATTCTAGGCTATTGTGGTTAACTATTCGATTGTCTCATCTCTGCCAAAGACAAAGCCCCATCTGGGTCCACATGAGGGGCTGGGGCTAGCCTGGGATGACAGAGTTATCTCCTGTAACACAAAGAACACAAGACTTAACCTGCCTCAGGGATGAAAAAGAGTGGGGGAAGTTTTAAAGAGACAGAAATTTTTTGGGGCCATTTTTTTCAGGCCATTTCCTCTGTTACAGATGGACACTAAACTGTTAAAGGTAGTTTTCTCAATTTGGGGTGATTTTTATTTTCTTCCTCAACACTTTTACATATTATTTGAATTTTTTTCCACAAGCTTATGTTATTTATCTAATAAGGAATAAATCTGTTTTTCTCATGGAATTAAAAAAATTCGCATTAAACTATTAAAGGAAATCAGCCCCTTCCTTTTGGAGAAAATCATGGGAAACAACCTCTGGCAGTAATGTCAGAAACTATGAGCTAGGTCATTAGTACAGCTCTGTGGCAGCTCTTCCATTCTTACATGGGGCAGTCAAATGGCAGTAGTACTCATTCACCATTGGTGATTCAGAAACTTTTTTTTTTTTTTTGAGACAGAGTCTCACTCTGTTGCCCTGGGCTAGAGTGCCATGGCGTCAGCCTAGCTCACAGCAACCTGAAACTCCTGGACTCAAGCAATCCTCCTGCCTCAGCCTCCTGAGTAGCTGGGACTACAGGCATGTGCCACCATGCCCGGCTAAATTTTTCTATATATTTTCAGTTGTCCAGCTAATTTCTTTCTATTTTTAGTAGAGACAGGGTCTTGCTCTTGCTCAGGCTGGTCTAGAACTCATGACCTTGAGTGATCCTCCCACCTCGGCCTCCCAGAGTGCTAGGATTACAAGTGTGTGCCACCGCACCCGGCCAGAAACTCTTAATGCTGTTTCCTTGTGTGTGTACATCTCTCAAACTATTTTTACATCTATGGGAGTGCCTGGAATGTACTTTGCTATGTAGAGCTAGAGAAAATCCATGGAGGCAAGCTTGCAGCTTATTCAACTGGCATTGACTGCTTTATCCCTTGGATATAAAGACTTCTGTTCATAGAAAAATAAGATGACTGAATCACTAAGAGGAGGAATGAAATTGCATCTGACCTCTATTGTCTTTGAGATTAACCCACACTCTAGGAACTCATGCCTTCAGTTGGCTTTATTAGTTCTCTCAATACATTTATCAAGTGACCCGTAAGTACTGTGCTCAGTGCTTTAGGAATACATGAATAAGATAGTATTCCAGTTTTCCAAGAGTTTTCAGGAACATTCCAATCAGGCCTAGGTTCTGGTTTATACTCTTGTCTTAATGTTTTACTTAACCTCAAAACTTTAACTCCAGATGGATCTGTTTTCCTATGCCTATGTACCAATGGTAAATTATACACACTTAGGATGGGATAAAGATTTATTGCTGGTTTGGTATCATTATGGAAGATGTGGCCCTTTAAAGAACTGTGATGTTTGTGTTTTAAAACCTGGCTTACTGTCTGTTCAGTTTCCCTTTTTGGCTCCCCTGTAAAACTCAGTGCCTTCTGGCAGTGGGGCTCAGTCTCCAGGATCAGGCCACTGTTCTTTTCCTGCCCCACATCAACATTTCGCTACATCTCTGGATAGAATGCTAGATGGCTTTTATCTTTGTACTTTTCTGTATTTGATTTTATGTTCTGCAGTGTGTGCATTTTTGATATGACCAGAAAAAAGTGAAAGTTATTTTATTATAAAAACAGAACAAAACTTGATTGCTTCTTGTTCAGTTCCTTCAGGTCTCAATAGGAGGTAGACTGATGCAGCTTAAACATTAACCCAAGTAAAGCTTATTCTGCTTCTTTTCTAGGATGTATTTTTCTTAGTCAGCATTAACTCCAGCCACCCAGCCTGCTAATTCATAAATCCTGGATATATCCTTAACATCCCCATATATACCCATACAAACACTATCTAATTCTGTCAATTGTCACTTTAAACATCTCTCAAATATGCCCCTTTTTTTCCATCCCACTTGCTACTGCCTTAGTTTAGGCATTGCCCTCTCCACCTCCAGTCACACCTTCCTCCAGTACAGTCTCCTAAACCATGACTCCCTAATTAACATCTTTCACTGGCTCCCCACTGTCTATGAAAGCATGAATCAGAACGTTTCAGCGCTGCCTACAAACTCCTTAGGTCCCAACACTAGCTTTATTTACCTCTTGTCGCTTTAACAACACTCAGCAACATGACTAAGCTTCTGCTCAATGCTCCAAGCTCACCCTGGCCCCACTCACCGTGCTCGAGCTCCTGGCCTCCGTCCCTCAACAAGCCAAGCTGGCCCGGCATCAGGCTTCCACAGCCTCGGCCCTCTGTCTAGGGGGCTCTTCCTTCCCACAGTGGGCCCGGCTGGTTCCTTCTGCTCATTTCGGTTTTTTTTTTTGGAGACAGAGTCTCGCTTTGTTGCCCAGGCTAGAGTGAGTGCCGTGGCGTCAGCCTAGCTCACAGCAACCTCAAACTCCTGGGCTCAAGCCATCCTCCTGCCTCAGCCTCCCGAGTAGCTGGGACTACAGGGATGCACCACCATGCTCGGCTAATTTTTTCTATGTATATTAGTTGGCCAATTAATTTATTTCTATTTTTTGTAGAGACGGGTCTTGCTCTTGCTCAGGCTGGTTTCAAACTCCTGACCTTGAGCAATCCTCCCGCCTCGGCCTCCCAGAGAGCTAGGATTACAGGCTAGGATTACAGGCGTGAGCCACCGGCCTGGCCTGCTCATTTAGGTTTTAGTTCGGGTTACATCCTCAGAAAGTCTTTCTGTGACCACTGTTTTGTTTTCTTCTCAGCAGTTATTACTACCTGCAATGATCTTATTTACTTGTTTTATTATTTATCTTCTCCACTAGAAACATAAGCTTCTAAGTGCAGGAGCTTCTTCTATTTTATTCATTGCTCTCTTTCTAGCACCAAGAACACACAGTAGATATTTCTGAATTAATACATGCAACAGTGAAAACATAAGTGTATCCTTGGTATACATATAGGGTGGCCAGCAGAGTATAGAATTGAATCCCTGTGTTCCTATTGTTCTTTAACTGGTGGGAGGGGAGAAAGGAAGCACAAAAACAGCTGGGATGCAACAGACCCTATTGCCAACCAGTTGGCAGAAGCAGCAGTCACAATTGTTGTAGAAGAGGCAAAAACTATGCAGGTCTGCCAATGACAGCTAGCACTGAACTCAACGGATTGCTGAGCCGGGTTCCACTTTAGGGTGAACAGTGCAGCCTGCTCTGGGAGGCCGGGGGAACTTGTACAAATCCACTTTGTTAAAAGGTCCACAGATAGTTCCAGTAACTCTGATCCATTTGTTCAGGGCATCCTGATCTGGAGAGCCGTGTCTACCTGTTTAGAGTAGTGATCAAGTTATTAGCCAGGCCAGCTTAGCTTATACTGGTTTGCGGGCTGTGGGTGCACCTCTTCAGTCTCTGCTCCTCTGTCATGCCCTCTTCACATACCTTTACCCTAAATTCACCTACACTTTTGCCTTCACAAAATCTAAGTGATTAACTGTTGTACCTAATCTATGTCCTAAATCTCTCTGGGTCACTTTTCCTTTGTATGGAGTCCCAAAGACCTTTCAAATTACTTAACTGTCCCATTGTTTCATGTATGTGTATATATATATATATTTTTTTTTAATACAGAGTCTCTCTTTGCTGCCCAGGCTAGAGTGAGTGCCCCCGTCAGCCTAGCTCACAGCAACCTCAGACTCCTGGGCTCAAGCGATCCTCCTGCCTCAGCCTCCCGAGTAGCTGGGACTACAGGCATGCGCCACCATGCCCAAATAATTTCTTTCTATTTTTAGTAGAGACGGGGTCTCGCTCTTGCTCAGGCTGGTTTCCAACTCCTGACCTCTAGCAATCCTCCCGCCTCGGCCTCCCAGAGAGCTAGGATTACAGGCGTGAGCCACCGCGCTCGGCCTCTTTTCTTTTGAGACAGTCTCACTGTGTTGGCTGGGCTAGAGTGCCCTGGCGTCAAGCATGGTTTGCAAAGGATAAAGCATTCCATGACAAAGGCTCGAGTCTTCTTGGTGAGCAGATACGCCAGCAATTGCAGCTCGCGCCCGCAGGACTCGTTCCCAGACGCTCGGTCCCGACTGCGGAGCTCCACAGTCCCAGAAGCGGCTTCCGGGGGCTGCGCCGAGCCGACTCCTCAGCTCCACGCGGCCACGCAGGCGGCCGGTGCTAGACTCGCAGGAAGTTGTCCCGGTCCCGTTCTGCCGCTGGGGCTGGAAATGGGAAGCGGGGTGCTCCCGCCCGCGCCCGCGGGCGTCACGACCTGCCGAGGCGAAAGTCCCCGCGGGCGCGGGCGGCGGGTCTCGGCAGGGGCGGACCGGCGCGCCGGGGAGGGGGCGGGCGCTGTGGGCGGTGGGCGGAGCCTGGCGGCCCCGGACCACCAATGAGCGCCTGGGCCGGCGCTGCGGCGCGACGCCGCGGAGCGGGGCGGTCTGGCGGAGGGCCGGGCGCTCGCGCGCTTTATCTGCCGCTGCGGCCGGAGGGCGTCGCTGCGGACCCCGCGCGCCGGAGCGCTCCCCGACCCGACTTCGCCGCCGGCCGCGCCGCGACGGCTTCCCGGATCTGCCCTCTTTGCGGGGGTCCCCGCAGCCTCGCTGGGGCCCCAGGTAACGGCCGTGCTCCTGCTCCCTCCCCCGCCTCCCGCCGCGGTCCGCCCTCCTTGGCCCGAGAGGAGGGGAGGGCTGGCGGCCGCGACTCCGGCCCGAGGGCCTGGCCTCGCCCGGGGCCGTCCCGCGGAGGACGCGGCCGGGGAGGGAGGCCCCGCGCGTCCGGGCGGGCGGGCAGTTCCCGCGTGCCGCCCGGCAGCCTCTCTGCCTGCGCGTGGGGGGCGCCCCGTCGCAGGGCGCCTCGGGCGCAGTAAAGAAAGTGGTGAATTAGAAGACATTTTATTCTTTAAAAAGCGAAACCAAAAATGCTCTCAGGAAGTCAGTTTCTGCATGATTCAGGAAAGAAGTGTGTGAAGGGAAGAATGGCACTATGAAGATGGGAAGCCTTTAATCAAGCTCGTTTTATTTTACAATATCGGGATGTAGTTAAGTTTCTGTTGTTGTCCTTGACTGTTAATAGCCGTGCAATTTGTGACCTGTATATTCAGAAGTTATTTATGAAGAACAATATAAACTTCATTCTCTATATTTACATATAGGTTAAATTCCTTGGTTACTTTTTAATATTTAAATGGTCACCTGTGTAAACTACCTTCTTTTTCAGAGTAACTTGTCTCCTCTCTTGAGGTAGAATTCAGTTTGAAGCATTTTTTTTTTCTTTTTTAAAGTTGGGCGGTATCGAAGAATGGCTAGTTAAGGAAGTCTAGGTGTTGTCGAGGCATGGGAATGGGTTTTGAAGGGAACTCTGATGCACTGAAGAGTAATCGTTCAGAAATGCACGCGTCTCAGTGCATCACGTGCTTAGAACCCGTGCAAGATTTCAGGTTCTCTAGGATAAATACCAAAATACTGAGTAAGCCCACTCATCCCCAGCTCATTTGGGCCACTTTTCTCCTGGCGTTCTAGGCTGAAGCCACGCTGGCTTTATTTTTGTTCTTTAAAAGCTTCATTCTCTTTCTTGTCTCCTGGCCTTTAGGGGTTTCCTCCACCTCTCAGGCTCTATTCTCTCCCTTCTCCCAGCTCCTTTGCATTCCTCAAAATAATCAGCCTAAATATCACCCCATCCAGGTTAAGCCCTCTGAGCACTCTTGTAGTCTTCTTAGCAGCAATCTTCAGTTGTAATGAGTTGTTAATTAGATGTTTTAATTGTTCCCTTTTCTGCTAAATTTCAGGAAGACTAAGCTAGTCTATCTTAGTCTATCTTATTTATATCTTTTTTTTTTTTTTTTCTTGAGACAGAGTCTCGCTTTGTTGCCCAGGCTAGAGTGAGTGCCATGGTGTCAGCCTAGCTCACAGCAACCTCAAACTCCTGGGCTCAAGTGATCCTCCTGCCTCAGCCTCCCCAGTAGCTGGAACTACAGGCACGTGCCACCATGCCTGGCTAATTTTTTTCTATTTTTAGTTGTTTGGCTAATTTCTTTCTATTTATAGTAGAGATGTGTCTCACTTTTGCTTAGGCTGATCTCGAACTCCTGGACTCAAGCAATCCTCCCAGAGTGCTAGGATTACAGGCGTGTGCCACCGTTGCCCGGCCTCTTATTTATATCTTAATCATCAGAGTCTGGCCCAGCACTTATAAGTTGGAGGACAGAAGAAGAAACTTTTGGATGAGGAATACAGTAGTCCTTCCTTATCCACAGTTTGTGGATAAGTTAGCTTAAGTTGGAGGTCCAAAACAGTACAATAAAATTTTGAAAGAGAAAGACCATGTTCACATCCCTTTTATTATAGTATATTGTTTAATTGTTCTTTTTATTATTTATTGTTCATCTCTTACCTAACATAAATTAAACTATGTATATATAGGAAAAAATATGTATAGGGTTTGGTACTATCTGAGGTTCCAGGCATCCACTGTACTTTGGCATGTATCCCCTGTGGATATAGGGAACTGTTGTATTAACAAGGAAAGAGTGCCTTTTTCATATGTGAAAGAATCAGAATATTACTCAGCCCTAAAAAAGAATAAAATCTTGTCATTTGCAACAACAGGGATGGATCAGGAGGACATCATCTTAAGCAAAACAAAGTAGGCACAGAAATGGAATTTGTTTTTCTTTTTTTAAGACAGAGCCTGACTCTGTCACCCTGAGTAGAATGCAGCGGTGACTGCAATCTCAAACTCCTGGGCTCAAGTGATCCTCTTGCCTCAGCCTCCCAAGTAGCTGGGACTACAGGTGCACACCAGTGCGCCTCGCCAATTTTTTCTGTTTTTTGTGGAGATGGAGTCTCCTTGCTCAGGCTGAGTCTCAAACTCCTGAGCTCAAGCAATCCTTCCAGAGTGCTAGGATTAAAGGAGTGAGCCAAACACTCTGGCCTTGGAAAAAGTTTTTAACAAAGGCCAGTTAAGCTCCATTTGCTGAAGAGGAGGCCTTTGTTTTGAAATCTGCCACCCTGGGTCGGAGATTATACTAACCATACAAATGTAAATGAAATTTGCCTGTGTTCTTCAGCTTTGCTAATTAATGACTCAGTTCTGCCATATGTAAAAGTTGTAGGGTTGTACTAGGACAAACCTCTGGAAGGAAGAGGGAGAAATTTCATGTTTTATATTGTTTATTCTATCCCCAATTTGTGTCTTTTTTCCCCACTGAACCTGAGGGTGATGTAGCAAAGTTCTTCACCTGGAGTAGGCACTCACATTTTGTGATAGGTTCTTTTGAAAGCTCTATTAATGGGAACACTGCATGCTGTGGAAAGTTGATACTTCTTTCCACCATAGTTCATTTGTTTTTCAAACTAATTCTTTTTGTTTTGCTTTCTTAAGACAAGTTAGATACTTTCACACTCAACATTAGCTACACATACAGATTAAATTCTTTTTTTTTTTTTTTTTTTGTACCAAGCCTTTACATAGTATTTGGCATGTAAGTTTATATTTGCTAAACTCTCTGGGGTAAGATCTTTCATCTCCTTATTCTAATAACCCTATGAGGTGGTACTCTCATTCCATTTTCAAATAGAGAAAAGTAGTGACTGTCAGAAGCACAACTATAGATGACATAGAGGTGACCATAAAGGAAGAACGAAAACTTAAAAGTAGGAACATAAACAAATAAAATAGGTCTCTTAGCATAGGACCAAGGAGTTGTTTCGTTCCCAACATCGTAAGTGTATCAAAGCAGACCTTACCTGAAGTTCATGCTTTAATGACCCTAGCACATCTAAAAAGAAGGCTACAGTAAACATAGAATGCAAAGAAAAATGTATTGCATTGAAATGAATTTTCTTAAGTTCTGACCAAGTATGTGTCACATATCTGAAATTCACCCATATTAGCATCTCACTCTACAATTAGATAAATGTGTAATAATAAGAGGTCTAATCATTGTATTCTTTATTTTTATTATTTATTTTTTTGAGACTGAGTCTCGCTTGCTGCCCAGGCTAGAGTGAGTGCCGTGGCATCAGCCCAGCTCACAGCAACCAGGAGCTCAAACTCCTGGCTCAAGCAATCCTACTGCCTCAGCTCTCCCAGTAGCTAGGACTACAGGCATGTGCCACCATGCCTAGCTAATTTTTTCTATATATATTAGTTGCCAATTAATTTCTTTCTATTTATAGTAGAGACGGGGTCTTCCTCTTGCTCAGGCTGGTTTCAAACTCCTGACCTCAGGCAATTGCCACCTCAGCTCCCAGAGAGCTAGGCATGAGCCACAGCGCCTGGCCCATTGTATTATTTACACACACAAAAAAAATACAATGTGGAAGGCATTATTAATCATTAGAGTCACTAGTCCTCATGAAGAAGGTAAAATTAGAGCCAGAAGGACAGAAGTCTGCTAGGCATAAATAGGATGGAAGGAAGGGGTACTCTATGAAGAATTTATAAAATGAACGGATCATGTTGATTGATTCATTAAATCAAATATTTTACTGAGATCTACTATATGCAATCTGTGCTCTCAAGGAGTGGAAATCTAGTGGAAAAGACACAAAACATAATTGTAACACCTGGTGTTATTAGAGAACAGTGATTGAGATGTATGTAGAACCTGAAGAGAACACAAGCCCAGTGCCCATTATGAGCAGTTAGGAAAGTTTCTAAAGGTAAAAATCTAGGTTAAATCTTTTTTTCTTTTCTTTTCTTTTTTAAGAGACAGGGTTTGCTCCTTGCTTAGGCTGGTCTCAATTCCTGACCTAAAGTGATCCTCTCGCCTCAGCCTTTCAGGGAGCTAGGATTACATGCATGGGGAAGACAAGGAAAAAGACAGAAGGTCAAGGGCCTTAAGGGGCCATTGTAAGGAGTGTGGAATTCTCACATAAACAAGGAGCTAATATAGGCTTTTAAAAGAGTCAATTGATATTTGTCTTTAGGAAGGTAACTCACGAAATAGTGGGAGGATGTGCTAGGGAAAGGAAAGACTAGAAGGAAGAACAATGAGCTCACATACAAAAACATTAAAGGCCTGAAGACAGGCTCAAATAACATGTTCATTAAATGAATAATTATGAAGAGGGAAGAGATAGAGAGATGAGATAGGGCGACTTCCGGGGCCCGCTCTTGGGGCCCCAGAACCTCGTCCACAAAAAAAAAAAAAAGAAAGAAAAAAAAGAGAGATGAGATAATTTATAACATTAAGCTGAGGATCAATGAGATATCCAGCTGCCTATACGCAGAAGGCAGTTGAAAATACAGATCCCAAGTGAGTTTTCTAACTCACTAAGGCTATTGGCTGTACCATTATGCTAAGTAATTCCAGGTGGAAGAGAAAGCATAGATAAATTAAATATGTGCCTGTGGGTCACCCAAGTAATCATGACCAATAGGCTGCTGAATATGCCATCTGGGCTGAAGGCAGAGATCTGGGATCCATTAGTGTAAAGGTAGTAGCTAAGGCCAAGGCACATGAAGGAAGTCCCCAGGGCAGGAAATAATAAAGTTAACATTCCATAGCACTTACTAGGGCTCATTTGATCTTCTCAACACTATACAACAAATATTGTTATCCATTTTACAGATGGTTAAGTAATTTCTCAACATGATGGGGCATTTAAAA